GGGGGGGGAGCGTGAGAGTGAGCGGCTCCGTGAGTTTTCCCCTATGAGGCGGTGAGAGGCCCGGGGCCTACCTCAAAGGAGCGGGGTCGCGGCGCCGGCTAGCAGCGGGCCCCCTCCCGGTCCCGGGGCCCGGCGGCGCGGCGGCGGCTAGGTTGTGAGGAGGCGGGGAAGCGAGTGTCCGGCCCCCGCCATGGAGGGCATGGACGTGGACCTGGACCCCGAGCTGATGCAGAAGTTCAGCTGCCTGGGCACCACAGACAAGGACGTGCTGATCTCCGAGTTCCAGCGGCTGCTGGGCTTCCAGCTCAACCCGGCCGGCTGCGCCTTCTTCCTGGACATGACCAACTGGTGAGCCGGCCCCGCCGCGGCAGCGCTGGCAACGGCCTCGGGGCCCCCAGGGGCAGGGACACCGAGCCTGGGGGCAGGGCGGCCCGGGAGGGTAGTGAGGAGCACTCCTTCCCGGGGCGGGGCGGCGTGTGGTGTGTGTCGGGGTCACGGGGAGTAAGCTGGGGCCACGCTGAGACTAGAGAGGGTGTGTGAAGGAAGTTGGGCGGTAGGAAGGGGTGAAGGGACGCTCCTGAGGTTATACGGAGAATGAGGCCCCGGGAACGCAGGAGGAGGGGCGAAAGGTCTTGGGGCATCGAGGCACAGGGCTAGAGCTAGGCAGAAGGGAGCTAGGTGCTGGCTGAGAGCAAGAAGTACATGGAATCGTGATTTGGGGAATGGGGAAAAAGGTCGGGATTTGGAGGCTGAGGATGACAGGCAGGAGGGGACACGGGGGTGGAGGGGTGGAGACTTCGGGGCTGTGAGGGACCTGGGGCATTGGGAAGACTTGAGAGTTCCAAGTTGAGAGGAACAGATCCTTTGTAGAGTGATTTTGTCCCCAGTCGAGGACCGACTGGAAAAGGGGCAGAGGATTATGTGGAAGGACAAACTGGTATGGCGAAAAGGAGGTGACTTTCTGCAGAGAATTGTGTCCCGGAAGATGAGATCTACTAATGGAGGGTCGAGAATGCTAGATCCAGGGCTCGGGACACCTTTGGAAGAGTGGGGGGAAAGAAATAATCCCTGGAGAGAGAACTTTCTGAAGGGAGTGGAGCCCAGGGAGAAGGTTCAAAGAGGGAACTTTGGTGGGGAGAGGCCTTCAGAATGCTGGGAACGGAGTGAGGCTTGTCTGAACCACACTTGGGTTGGTGGATGTTTGGGAACGTGGAGACCTTGACTTCAGGCAGGACACCAAATGATTTTGGCTTGGAGTCACCTCGTCAGTCTGAATTGCGGCAGAAGACCACCACACTTGAGTGTTTCTCAGTTTTGGAAACAGCACTTGCTATTTTCGGTAAGCTTGGCTTCCCCCTTGTTCTCTGAGGCGGGAATTGTTCAGTTCACCCAAGGTGAGAGGTGGAGTGAAGACCCTTAGACTTATTTTGAATGGATCTCAGAGTAAGCAGCTGTTCTTTGGACAAAAAGCAGTGATGTGAGTGCCCTTTGCTCTCTGTGTTGGGCATTAGTCCCCTGACAGTGCATTCTTGTTTCTCTTGGCACCACTTGCACAGCCAACCTCCCCTTTATTCACTGAATGCCTCAGAGAGTGCCAGAAAAGAGGCTGTAAGCCTAGGCTTCTCCTGCTCACCTAGCCCCTGTCCGAGAGGCCCGTCGTACTTGGGAGCTTTGTCGATGTGTTTTTCAGTGCAGCATCCATCAACCCAGGTCCCATTCTCTTTAAAGTTGATCGCTAGAGCAAGAGTGAAATTGAGTTCCTAGATGTTAAGAAAACCCTTTGAGGCTTTGGAAGCAGGAGACAATGTTTAAGATTAAAGAAGCATTTGTTATCCAAACTTGTCTTTTATGTTGGGGATAATCTCAGGCAGGGGCCACAGCCGAAGTAGTTTTCTGAACACTGACCTATGGTACTTCCATGGTCAGAGTGTCTGGTTACTGAACACGTTCAGGAAATTTCTCTGGGACTCTGGTAAAATTTAGAAGTAAGACTCCCATCTTAAGGATTGCTCTGTTGCCTGCCTCCTTCCCACCCTCCATCCCCCACGCCAGTGCTTTTTCTTCCTTGTTTACTCTAGTTCAGCATAGGAAACTTGGCATCTTGTTGGTGCCCGTTGGGTAGAGGAGGATCATTTCTCCCCCACCCCCTTGTGAGCCGTACCATTTAAACCCTGCCCTAATAAGTTCTTAGTTCTGTAGAGACCGTCTTTATTAGCACAGCACGATTATGGTGGCTACAGAAATAGTGTAAATGAGGTATTTGTGCTTGAGGTATGTGTGTAACATCTAAGATTGTTTGTTTCCAGGTGCTGTAAAAGGTGAGGGATAGCTGAAACCCAGCGTGAATAAGAATCAGAAACTTAAACGCCATCTTTGAATTATAAGCTTTTTCTTTAATTTTTTTAAAACCAAAGCCATCACAGGAGAGCATGTTTACAAGTGATCTCTTAAGTGAGGTGTGATACATTTATGAGCAAAGGAGTGAACCATGGGAGAGAAAAAAAAGTGTTCTGGTTTTAAAGCAAGTCATACCAGTTGGAAATCAGTAGCCTCTTAGGGATCCAGGCATTTAAGTGATCATTCGCTTTAAGCCATGTTGCCTTATTTTCTGGCTGTAGGAAGCATGTTCTCTGTTTGTATTCATCCCAAGATGAAAAGTTATTAGTGAAATAAAAGCTAATAGGGTTGTCTTTTTTTTTTTAAGCTTAGTTTTGTGGTTTTCTTATGAAAGCTAGTTAGTGCCATAACGTAATATTGGATTTTGGTTCCTAGATTGATCTGGCTGAATTTATCTTCAGAAGTTTTTGTTTTAAATAAATATGAATCCTAATTAATACAGTTAGTCAAAATGTGTGCGTAAATGGATAACCCACCATCACCAGGTGAGTCCGACTGCTGGTGACGCTCTGCAGAGTTTGGGGGTTGTGTGTCTTTCCGGGGCAGGCCGAGCTGCTGCTGAGTGTGAATGCCCACTTTGCCGTCTGCAGTCCAACCCTTAGCCAGCAGCACCGCCAGGGCTCCTCATGTACGTGGTCAAAATATCTGTGTCTCACTGAAGTAAAATGTCTGAACTCTGCTATCGAGTCCATTTCTCCCCAACGAGACCCTATAGGACACCCTGCCCCTGAGACAAACTCTTTACTACGGGAATAGAAAACCTAGTCTTTTCCCCAATGGAGTGGTTGGTGGTTTTGAACTGCTGACCTTGGAGATTAGCAGCCCTGCGAGTAGAAATGTGTTGTTTTTAAGTCACTTATAACTTTTGAAACTTAAGGTAATCCTAATAAAAAACATAACTCGCAGCCACGAAGTATGTTTGGATTCAGTTACTCCCGTAGGGCAGAATTCCTGCCCATTTGGGTTTCTAAGGCTACAAATCTTAGTTCATCTTTCTCTCCTGGGTTTGAAAGGCCGACCTTGTGTTTGGGAGCAGAATGAGTAACCCACTATACCGTCAGGGTTCCTGTGATTCTAATACAAGTTGGCAAAATATCTCTCCGATTGTCATGGTTACACCTGTTGAACTGGAGATGATTAGCCTTCCCCTGACTTCGAAAGTATCATCTTAGAGTTGTAATAAATAACCACCACTCGGGAGCTGGTAAAAATCAAGACTTCAAAATGAAGACCATCATCAGAAAGACTGCGTTTTTGTTTTCCAAAGGAAGAATTATTATTTTTTCTGAAAACTTGGCGGCTATGTTGAATGTTTTGGTCCTGCAAATTCTCTTCCTTGTTAAAAGAGTTGAACTTAAGGGGGTGCTGGAACAATCCTGTGAGCTACAAACTCCTATAGCTCCACTGTATCCTGGGTTGTGGGTGTAATAGAAACTTTTCATTTCCAGGGGGTGGGGGGACACTGAGTACTTTTTTTTCTGAGAAGGGGGCAGTAGGCCACATATGTTTGGGAACCTGTGATCTTTAAGATGGAATAGAACGACTGTGAAGCGTTTCCTAGACTGATAGCTGTAGGGGAGCAGACCACCAAGTTTTTGTCTCACATGGAGTTCCTGGAGGGGTGGGACTGCTGGCCTTTTGATTAGCTGCCAAGCTCTTAACAATTGTGCCATCTGGTCTCCTTTTCACAAATACAAGCCCCCTCATATGGGATTTAGGATTGACAACAGATATTTTGAGGACCACAATTCAATCCATAATACATATTATCACTGATTTGCTCTGTCTAGGACAGTCTCAATGGGATATAGTTCATCTTTTATTTGTAGAAATGTATAAGTGCATTAAATGAATAAATACAACTTACGTTGAAAACGTGTATTTAGGAATAGTGTAAAAATCCATGCTCAAAAAAAAAAAAATCCATGCTCACTTATGATTCAACCAGACTTACCTGGTTGATATTATTATGTATTAAATTGTGTCCTGAAAAATATATGTTCATGAGGGAGGGGGGAGTAGGGAGGGAGGGGGAAATGGGCAGCTCATATCAGGGGCTAGAGTAGAAGGCAAATGTTTTGAGAATGATGAGGGCAGCGAATGTACATATGTGGCTGGCACAATGGATGTATGTATGGGTTGTGATAAGAACTGTACGAGCCCCCAATACAATAATTTAAAAAAAGAAAAAGAAAAATATGCTTAAATCCTAAAAAAAAAAAAAGAGTTGAACTTTGGCTGTTTTTTTCATTTTTTAAGGTTGGATGAGCATATGTAGATACATGTGTTTCTCCTCGTTAGAGTAAAACCAAGTATGGTTTTAGTTGGAGCCTTTTGGTGTAGTGCTTTATATGGTCATGATCAGTCAGAATGAACTGATGACAGTAGTTTTGGCGTTGGTTTTTGGTACCTGAGCTGGTAAGCCACGCTGTTGTTGGTTGGTGACGCTGCCTCTTAACAGAAGCAGTCAAGTTTTATCCCTAAGTGTGAGCACATAGAGTGAATAAAAGCGAACTCAATCTTTGAAGCCAACTGAAACAACGTAAAGATTAGTATACCTTTCTCTCTCTTGGTGGGGTCTCTTGCAGAGACACTGTTGGGTATAAATAGGGAGCTGGAACCCTAACGCTGGCAGATGGCTTAAGAGATTCCCTAGCTCCTCCCAGTGTTTACTTGGGAATTGCATCTTCCATGTCCAAGATGAGAGCTGTCTCCTATTCTTGAGTCCCTAACGGCAGAGATTTGCAAGGTGCTTTATTATAGTGTTTAATTATCTTTCTAGTTAGAATTCTTAGGTCAAAACTCATTTCTCCTGTTGCAGCATATGCTGTTTCATTTGCTTATGTCCTCCACGGAAATATAGAATATTTAATAAACATCTTCCTTTGGATGTCAGAAAACTTCTCAATCTAAATCATTAAAAATTAATTATTTATCCTAAACATTTTCAA